AAAAAAAAACAAAGAAAAGAATAATATCCAGACAACAACAAAGTTCTGTTACTGTTGTGGTACCTGGGAGCATTTTTTTTATTAGCATGTTAATCATCATCTGGAAAGAGAACATTCTAGAGTAATATCATTAAATGTAGCTCTGATAAAGCACGGTCCCTACTATGTATCATAAAGCAGGTACAAGATATTTTATATTCATAGAGGTATGATACAGTACCGTCCTACATCAATAATGCTAGAATCAGTTTTCGTTTGAAATTTACTTTGTCTGCAAATAAGATTGCTACCCCTGTTTTTTTCTGGGCTCCTGTCACAGAATTGTTTTCTATCTTTTCACTTTCTTGTTATATCTTGTTAAAGTTTTTGTGTATTGTTCTGAGGATTGAACCCAGGGAATACTACTGTATGTTCCCAGCCTTTTCTCTTTTGAGACAGGACCTTGTTAAGTTGCCCAGAAACTTGCTGTTCTGCCTTGGCCTACTACTGAGTAGCTGGAATTGCAGACATGCACCATAGCAGGCAACTTTTTTTTTTCATAATGACATTTTTCATCTGTAACTGAAATGTACAGTTTGATTAGGAGCAAAGTTTCTAGCATTAAAAAAGTTCTAGTTGATAATATTTTTCTCACTATCTAAAGAATTTAGTATTTTAAACGAGAGTTGAAACACTCTTTTGTGGTCTGTCTTATTCTCCTTCATTTTTGTATCTGTTATGTACCTGAAATAGTTGTCACTGCTTCGTATTAGTTGCTCTTTATCTTACAGGGCATTATTTGCCAAAGAAGGCCAAATTATCAGCTTCATTTATTATCTTTTTTTTCCTGTTCCAGATTTTTAAAAATTAAGTTCATATCATAGATGCTCTCTGATTTAGTAAAGGCGCCCCCCCACTCTAAATTTTCTGTTCAAACCAGATTATGGCCTATAATTTATATATATTTGAAGTCAAATAGGTATAAAATTTATTGTAATAGTGGTTTTTGTGAAAAGAACTGATTTAGGATTTTCTTCAATGTGGTAGATACTCATTTTCCTTATTGAAATTTCTTTGTGTTAACTTTTAAGATGTCTAAAAAGTTTAAGTATTTGGATTATAGCAGTTATAAGAGTTTGTATATATAGACAAGATCATCTTATGGCAAGTGTTTATAGAGTTTTGTTTTATGAATTTTTGTTGGTGTAGCAGTTTTTTTGTAACATAACCTACTCCATTGTCCATTACTTCTGCCTAAGTTGCTGGTCCAAATTAATAACTAATTTTAAGTCACTGCCAGAAACAGATTATTTCCATGTTACTAACCTTTATGTAGACAAGTGCTATCATAACCTTATTTTCGCTTCTCTCAGAACTTTAGGCATTGCCATCTTGTTGAATTTGACACTTGAGATTCATTAAAAGGAGCCTAGAAGGCTGTCAGATAATATTAGGGCACTTCATGGATGTATTTTTTGCTAAAATTTATGATATGAAGGTTAAACTAAAGCTTGAAAAGGCAGTAGCACTCCATGTTTATGTTCATTTGTTTTTGAAAGACACCATATCCCACCACTATTCTGTTCAAGTTTGGTGGATGTTCAACCACAGAAGGGTGGTTGAACAGATTCTTATAGTGAGATGCCATAATAGCTTAGAAATGTTACAATTGATTATCATCCACAGAGTTTAAGACTAGAAACCCTAAAGCCAGGTGTGGTGGTTTATCCCTATAATCCAGCTACTTAGGGGACAGAAGCAGGAAGGTTCATGAGCTGGAGTTCAGTCCTCACTACTACACACACACACACCCACTACACACACACACACAGGCTTTGGAGTCACTTGGCTTGATCCTGACTTTGCTGACCTAGTTTTGAATCTGCAGGCAACTTGACCCTTTAAGCTTTTCTTTACTTTCATATAAAATGGGAATATTAATATTACCTTCCTTTTAGAAATGATAGTAATGCATATTAGAGTTCTGCATCCTGTACTTCTTAAGCATCTGATAAAATGGTTTTATTGTTGGGGATTTAGCTCAGTGGTTCTGGCACCTCCCTCGCAAGCACAAGGACCTGAGTTCGATACCCAGTACCCCCCCCCAAAAAAGTTTTATTTTAAGCATTATCATCTTGTGAGTCAAAGCATTTTTTTAGTTCCCATTTTAATAAAGCGGTAGGAATGGTGATCTTGTCAACCACCTACTTTCTTATGTAATGTCATGTAGTTTTTTTTTTTTTGCCTCTTGTTCTCAAGACGAATACTACATTACAATTAAAAATCTAAGATTAATACATTAGGATATAAAATCAGATTAAAAATGCTAAACAAGGTGTAGCATTTTCTTTTTCTTTAGAGGCAGACATACTAGTTGCTTAATCTTAATATATTTCATGTATGTTATCATCATGCTTTTCTGTAAGATATATCAATAATGGCATCATTCTCCAACCAATCTTAAAACAATTTTCGCAGAATTAATATATTTTATAGTTTTGAGATTTAAATGTGAAGTCCTCCATATTTGATTTTTAAATGTATTTTGGTACTTTTTCCTGTTTTTAAAGGGCAACAGGGGAAGAATTAAAAGTGAAAGCATACCTACCAACAGGCAAACAATTTTTGGTAACCAAAAATGGTAAGAATTTTATCGTATACATTAGTAAATTTTGCATTTACATTAAAAGCAACAACCAAAAACTGTTTATCCTTATTGATTGTAATTTGTGCCTGATGTACTTAATGTTTTCTCTCAGAAAGTTGAAAATTTAATGAAATTCTGTTTTTTCTGTAGTTTTCCTTTTCTTTGATTTTTATCTTCTCTTTAACTTTTTCTTTTGGCCAGAAGATTCAGTTGTCAAGATATAAAAGAAGGTCATAAGAAAAGTTAGATTTCTCATAAAAGTTTTTTTCTTTTCTTTTCTTTTTTTTTTTTTGGTTTTATTTGAGATGGTTTCACTATATAGTTGAGACTGACCTGGAACTCACTGTGTAGCCCAGGCTGGTCTCAAACTCACAGTGATCCTCCTGCCTCAGCCTCCTGAGTGCTGGAATTACAGGCGTGCGCCACCACACCTGGCCAAAAGTTTTTTTCTTAAGTTGACTTCATAATCATTCTTTTAGCTATTTGATTTTAATCTTTCAATGTTAAATTTTTTATGAAAAATGAAATTGTTACTACCTTGACATCTTAAGCTCAAAGTTAAAAGATTTTATTATTAACTATGCCATTGAAGGATTTCGTAATGCACAAAAAATGTTTTGAAATATATATTTATAAAGTGAAATTTAAAAGAACATCAAAAGGTTTGCAATAGTTCTTAGTCACATAATAATACATTGATTTCTGTTATAATTTACCTCACATAGTAAAAGGAAAATAATTCTTAAAATGATAATTTTTTTCTTAAAAAATACATTTATTGTTAATGATTTTGTTGTATAAAAAATTTGGCTCCTGTGGTTGTAAAGGAAATAAAATTTAGCAATTTGTTGAATTTTAAACTTTTAGCCATTGTGAGTGACTGAAACTTAAATATGATGTATAAAATTCATATTGGCAATTGTTTTAGCCTTGTAACCAGAGATCATCTCTACAACTTCTGATGATAGGTGGTACTTCCGTGATCTGAGAGTAAAGTAGCGATTTAAGGTATTGGTTAGCTTGAATTGAGTAATGTCACCTGGCATTAGCCTGCTGTTCGTCACAGACTATGGTAAAGGAATACATAGAAAACTCACACTATTGTAAATGGAGAGGGAAGGAGGGGATGAAGGGAGGGCAGGGACAAGGTGAAAAAATGAGGACCAAGACCTGTCATGTAAAGGTATAAGATCCCAATAATGAATATAATTGTACTGTATACCTAAAATGTACCAATAAACTCAATAAAAAGAAAAAAAAAAAAAAAGAAAACTCATACCAAAATCTGCTTGTCTTCTCACAAAGCAGTTTAGGGAAAGATTAATACAGCTAAATAATTATGTGTCTGTGGACTGAATATAACTCTTAGCAGTAAAATATAGTCATTTAACGTTTTGGTAGTATAAATTCATTTTATGAAATAAACTTCTTCTGATGGATTTATGATTAGTAGATTATATACTAATAACTGTGTTTGCCATTTTTGTTTACAGTGCCATGCTACAAACGCTGCAAACAGATGGAATATTCAGATGAATTGGAAGCTATCATTGAAGAAGATGATGGTGATGGGGGATGGGTAGATACATATCACAACACAGGTAAGAGGAGGCTGGAATGTTTCAAACTCTTTGTTTATTTAGTATAAATCTTTTCCAACTCTTTCACAGTCTTTTATAACATTCTTGATTTTTTAAAAAAGGAAGATAAGGCAGTTTTGTCCCAGAAGATTTATCTGAAAGAAATGAGGATAAATTGAAGAGTCTTTGGTGTATACTAAACTTTTATGGAACTGGCTGCTTCAATGACAATTTGAAAATAACTATATGATTTTCATTATTTCTAAATAAAGAGAGGAAAAAGTAAAGCTAATAAAAATACTGATTATGCATAGTATGCTTTAGAATATTCCTTACATGTCAATCTATTGCTGGATTATGAGCTCCTCTGTGACAGAAACTGTGAGATAATCTTATTTGTTTTACCCAGAAACTGGAATCTCTGAATATTTAATAATTATTTATTGAAAAATTACTAAAAAATATTTTAAGCTGTAAGCTCCATGAAGGTAGAGATTCATTCTTGAGTCTTCAGTGTCTATCATAGTGTTTAATATAAAAGTTGTTCAATAAAATATTTGTTATATGAACTGAATTTAAGGATTTTATAAGTGTATGCCTGCATATGCTGTTTATTTTTGCTTTAGGCATGTTAGACTTATATGTCAAAGTTTTAATAGATCAGCAAAATATACTTGGCATTTTGAGAGTAAGCATATTTTGTTTTGTTTTGTTTTTTTTCCGTAGTAACGTTAGCTACTTTTGCTGAATTTTTCATCCTTGTTCAACTGAGAACACTGACAAGATATTTGACTTAGAAAGCTGACTGGTGGTACTTCCACCTTCATAACAGTCGTGTGTCCATATGTTCTCCGCCCCCCCCCCAACCAGGGATCCAACTCAGGACCTTGTGTTTGTGAGGCCTATGTGGCTCAACTGAACTAAAGCCCCAACCCCATGATAGTTTTTCTTTTTCTTTTTTTCTTTTTTTTTTTTTTTTTTTTTTTTTTTTTTTTTTTTTTTTTTTTTTTTTTTTTGGTACCAGGGATTGAACTTGGGTCCTTGTGCTTGCAAAGCAGGTGGCAGAACCACTGAGCTAAATCCCCGGCCCCCCATGATAGTTTTCTTTAGGCAAGTTGTTTCTATAGAATTTGTTCATTGAAGAACAGTGGGAAATCACTGAACCAAAAGTCGGTTTATAAGGATTTTGATTTCAGTTTCTTCATAAAGGGATATGAAACTCAAATAGGTCGTTTTTCGTCTCTGGTGATTTCATTTCTACATAGAGAGAAATTATTACTCTTAACTGCTTCACAGGATAGTGTTTGTAAGGGTTAAATAAGATGTGGAAACAGTACATAAAATGCCCCATATAAATGTGTTACCTTGTTTTAGTACCTTTGGATGTCTTAGATTTCTGAAGCAAATAGCTATTTACATACCAAAATCTAGTTGAGAAAATTTTGATACAGGTTTAATTAAATGAGTCCCATAATGTTTTAATGGGTTCCTTTCCTTAGAATGTATTGTTCTACAAGTGAGGGATTGTAAATAGGGAATGATACACTAGGATAATTCATAGTAAAATATTAAGTTGATGTGTTTTTTGTTTGAGCTTGAGGATGTACCCCTCTGGTTATCTATTCCTGTTGAAGTTCATTTGTAAAGATTTTGTTAGTATTTACCTCTTTACTTCAGAGAAGTTGTGAGCATTTAGATGATTTTAAGTGTTTTTATCTTGCATTATTCAAGTAAGTAGACTATTTACAGCTTAATTTTAGTTATTTTCTGTTGAATTTTTAAACAGGTATTGCAGGAATAACTGAAGCAGTTAAGGAGATTACATTGGAAAACAAGGTATGTTTGTATAGTCAGTGATCTAGTTATTTGTGTACACATTTTAAGATTACTCATATCTTTCATATCCAAAGTCTCGTTATATATTATAAAACTCAGATTATACCTATCTTCCCACCCCTTATTTTTCAAATTGGGTGGAATTTTTCTGCTTTTAAGTTTTCATTTAATCCAGGCTATCTGTATTAGCTTTCCATTTATTAGAATGAATATTTGTAGTTATCTTAATAATTTTATATAGTTGTTTGAAATTATATGAACCAATACTACAAAATACCTTCACTTTTTTTTTTTTTTAAGTACTGGAGGTCAAACCCATGGCCCTACACATGCTAGGGGAGCATTCTACCACTGAGCTACATCCCCTAGCACTTTTTCATTTTACTTTACTTTGAGACACGCTTGTTACTAAGTTGACCAGGCTGGTCTCAAACTTAAATTCTTACTGTTTCAGCCTGCCAAGTAGCTGAGATTATGTGCATGCACCATCTCACTCAATTCACCCTTATCTTTTCTTAATTTTTGTACATAGTCAAGTCTTTTAGAAAACAATATTTTGAATAGAATAATTATATCCCTGTTGTTACTAGGAAGCATTCCCCACAATTTACTAATTTAAGACATTTTTTGTGTTTTCATCATTGCCCCTTCAGGGATTTGTATACATAGTTTAAAAGAACCTATAAGAAAAGAAAATAAGTTTATTTTTCAGTTTTACACTGGCTTCAGAATTCATCCTTTTGAATTTCTACATTTTGGAGTTTGAATGACTAAGGAGAAGTAACCCAAGTGGTTTTCTTGCTTCAGAAATCTTATGCATTCTGACTAATAGTGTGTGTACTTAAGATTTTAGAATGATAAATGAAAGAGTAGTGTGCACAGCATTTTTTGGATAAGTTTATGGTAATTCTTCCAGGAATTGTGTTTGTTTTTGTGGTGCTAGTTATTGCAACCAGTGCATGCTGCATAGCAAGCTCTCTATCACTAAGCTACATTCTCAGCCTTCACGAATTTTTAATAAATACAGTAATGGTTGTTATGATGCTTAATATCTCATGTAACATCCTTATGTTCTACTAAAAGATGAGTACTGTTATATTTGCAACTAGAATATATCTTTCCTGTCATTTTTCTCTTATTTAGTACTATTTAGAATTGATATGTCTTTAAAGTTATTTAGTTCTTAGGATGCTTGCAATTTACCAACCAAGTCTTGGTTGTTAATTTTTACTCTGCTTTATCAAGTGTGAATATTACCAACATAATTAAAGACTCCTTTAATGATCAGTTTGCCAGATATTAGCTTACTTAATAATTACTTGATGCTGACAATCTTCCTTAATTTACATTGTATGGGTTTTAAGGTGATATATTTGATTTCAGTTTCTAGTGGTAAATAAACCCATCCTTAAGTAAAACACAACACAAATGAAACTACATGCCAAAATTATTCACTTACCACATCAGTTTCAGATTATTAATTTTGTGATAATGACAACTATTTTAGGGCTGTCATTGGTTAGCATATTTTATAGTAAACTTTAGTTAAATTGAATTAAAATCTTATGTTATAATAACTGTAAAGTCTCATGAGTTTTGGTTAAGTCAGCTGGGCTATTTTTAACAAATTAGAATCGATAGTTTGAATTATATCTTATTTTAGCTTATAATAAATATATTATGACTTATAAACAAGCCTTTGCTTTAAATTATAAGTATACAATGGTACTTCAGTTCATGAACTTAATTTGTTCTACGATTTTGCAAATGTTGGCTACATTTGTGTTTGTGTGGGAAAGATACAGTCAGGTTTGTCATCCCATTCAGGGTTTGTAAATAAAAATAAAATTTTGCCAAATGCTTCTGTTTGCAAACCAGATTGTTTTGCAGAAACTGTTCATGAATTGTTTACTGTATAAGTTAAAATAACTGAACTGATTTTCTAATAGAAATTGGTTAAGTAAGAATACTACTTTATTGTAAGTTCAACTCATAACTATTTTTAAATAGTTGGCTGAGATGACTCTTCATCTTCCCAAAAGACCTTGAGTTTTTTTCAGTCACATCACTTAGAAAATTAGATGATTGATTTTAGGGCTTTTTCATCCCTACTGTGTTTGCATTTCTTAAGGACAGGGACTGCTTTATCATTCTTGCTTTCACATTGTTTGATTTGCACCATGTAGTACATGGGGTTTCAGTGTGTGAAGCAATATTTAATTACTTTCCAAGGATAGTATAAAACTCCAGGATTGCTCAGCACTCTGTGAAGAGGAAGAAGAGGAAGATGAAGGAGAAGCTGCAGACATGGAAGGTATTTATGTTCTAAATTGTCTTTAATCTCATTAGGATATTGATTCTGAACTTTTTGTAGTCCATGTGATTAAGAATTCTACTCTGTTGAGTTTTAAATTTTAGTGTTTACCAGTTTAGGAAATGTATTGTTTAATTTTAATTTCATTTCTGCAAAACTGATTTTGATCTTGGGCTCTTTTGTATTAGCACATAGTCTTGGCAGTATTATTTCTGTTGGAATAGATACTAATTATAGATCTTTAATGCTGTTGACTGCTGTAAGATACTAAGTCTTTGATTATTTCAGAGCAGAACAACGTTTGGTCATGTGTTTTGTATTTTCTTTATGTTTTTTGTTTATATCTTTCTACGAAAACCTAAGGAATAATATTTTTTTGCTTTGTTTGTTTTGAGATGGGTTCTTGCTGTGTTTGCTAGACTGGTTTTGAACTCATGAACTCAAAGGATCTTCCTGCCTCAGTCTTCTTAGTATTAGGGCTTCAGGCATACACCACCATGCCTGGCAAAATAGTGATTCTTAATGGGACCTTTTTAACTACACAGCATCCCTCATAGTTTCCTAAGATTCTGAAGTGACCACTTCAGGGTTTACCACTTAAGAATCATTTTATTAACAGATCATTATTAGAAGAGATCAAAATCCACTCTACTAGCAGAGCAGAGTTATACAGATCTATCTGTACATAATTCACATTTTCCTATTTCATTAAGATAATCTTTAATACAAGTGAAACCTCAGATATTCAAAAATAGATGAAGAAATTGCTATCACCAGGATTACTTCATTATTAAATCCATTTTTTATTATACTTACTTTCAATTTATCATTTGATTCTGTTAACTATCTTTTCTTTTTCCCTTTCTCTTACATTGGATTGTTTTCTTCCTTGACTTTTTTTCTAAGTCATCTTTTGGGGCATTTTCTGCCTGGATATGCTACTATTTTATAGCTACTCTCTTCCTTCTGATTCCTTCCTTCCTTCACCCAGATTTTGTCTATTCTTATGGCCTCTGCCCTGGCACATGGTGGTTAAGCATGGATATTTGTGCAGCAGGACAGACCAGGTTTCCAACAAGAATTTAAACATAAATACATACATATATAGAAAGTTGTGTATTAGAAAAAAAGAGAATTAATTTGAAAAAGACATAGGGCAGGCATGGGAGTTATAAGATAGCTGCATCCCAACACTGCATCATTTTTAGTTCAAGATAGTTATGTTTTATAGCTTGCAAAAGTAGAAGACTGTGCCAAATAGATTTGAAGACCATAATGGCAAGTCATGATTGCTGGACTGTAAGTACCTTTCACTTTAGTTCCCCAGATTACTTTCTAGTCTGCATGAAGTCTAGCTGTATATCTGTTCCTTAGTTTTACAGAAATTCTTGTCTTTACTTCCATGGTAAACTGCTGTCTCTTGAGGAAATCAGAGCAAGTTATTTGTGGCCAGAGTTTCTCATAGCAGTTTCACATACCATTTTTGTGCTTAGGATTTCTGTATCTAAAACTTCCTAGATCTCCTAAACTGCAAAACTGTTTGGTCACTTTTATTATTATCTGGATATTTAAAAGTTGGTAGAAGTGAACTCATCCTTTTTTTTACATGAATACTCTTTCTAGGTTTGTCTGTTTCTGAATATCATATAGTCTTGTCCAGTCCTGATGCAGATGGGTGAAAAGAATCCCATGAGTAAAACAATATTTTTAGAATACAAGCTGTGGAACTACCTTAAATATCTGACAATCTTTTAGTATGTTTGCAACATTTTCCATGGATAATTGAAGAATTGCTTGCTTAATGTAGAATTTTGCTCAAAAATTGTGTTTACAGTGTTTAATATAAAAGGTAATTTTCACTCATTTATTTTACAAATATCTATTGGGCAATACAGTGTTTGTGTATCAGCAGCTTCTGAGAGCTAGAGATAAAAAAGCAAAAGGCATGATCTCATAGAATGTAGATTATAATGAGAGGAGACAAGCAAAAATATAGATAAGCAAATTATATAACGTAAATATTTATTAGAAAAATAAGTAAAGGGGATATGTACAGTGTTTCCATTTTTGCTGGTGAAAACAACCCCAAGGAGAGTGTGCCATCTGAGTAGAGCCTGGAAGTGAGTAAACAAGCTGTTGGATTATCTGGAGGAAGAGTGTAGAGACCCTCTAGTGGGAACATGTATGGCTTATATAGTATAATTGCAAGGAGACTCGTCTGTCCAGAGTAGAGAGAAGAGGACAATGGTAAAAGGTAGTCAGAAAGGTAACCAAGGGCCAGATTGTATAGGTCCTGACTAATTCAATGTAAGAGAGGGTGACATTGGTGTTTTTTGTTTGTTTGTTTGTTTGTTTGTACTAGGAATCAAACTTGGGTCCTTATGCCCTGGTGTGGGGTTTTGTAAGTGAAAGAGTAACGTGCTTTAGCATTTATTGAAGTGTTAAGTCTATGTTGAAGGGGAAGAGAGACAACAGTTAGCAGGCTATTTTGATAACCCTAGACAAGACATAGTAATGACTGAAGCTAGGGCAGTGATGGTGAACCTTTTAGAGATCAGTGCCCAAACTATAACTCCAAACCCACTCACAGTATTTACTGCAAAGTGCCAACATTGCAATTAAACCCCAGTATTTGGCTGCTGGGGCGCCTTGGCTTGTGTCCCAACAGAGGGCTCTGTGTGTCTGCTAAGGCACGCATATTGTAGGTTTGCCACAAATGGGCTAGGGTACTACTGTTGGTAATGATGAGAAACAGAATTCTGGTTATATTTTGAGGATAGCACCAAGGGGATTTGCTGCTGTATTAAATGCCAGTTGTGAAAGGCAAAGTAATTAAGTGTGACTCAAGGTTTTGAACTGAAAGTTTGAAAGAATCCATTAAATGAGATGGGGAAAATAAAAAGAGATTAACTTTGGAAAGGAAGTCAGGAGCTCAGTTTTAGAATCGATATCTGTAGGCAGGGAATAAATTGGGTTTCTTCAGTTTTTAAAGCCATTGAAACAAAAATCACTTGTGGAGTGAGTGTTGGTAGAGAAGAGCCAATGTCCAAGAATTGACCTCTTAGTTACTACTGAGTACAATACCCCTCTTCTCTTCCCTCCCCTTCCCTTCTCTTCCTCTTCTCTTTTTCTTTTCCCTCCCTCACTCACTACCTCCCTCCCTCCTCCTCCTTCCTCCCTTCCTGAGCCAGCATTGGAGATACAGAAGGAGCAGCCAATAGGGTAGGAGGAAAGCCAGGAAAATAAAATATCTTAAAAGCCAAGGAAAAGAAGTGCTCTAAGGAGGAGGGAATAAATCATGTCAGTTGTTTCTCAGAGATCAACTAAGATGGAAACTGAGAATTTACCACTCGAAGGAGCAAAGTGGAAATTACTGATGACTTTTTCACATTTTATGTTGTTACTATCAGCAGTCCCCTCTTATATACAGTTTTGTTCATGATGGTGTTAGTTATTCATGGTCGGTTATATTCTGAAAATATGAAATTTAAAGTGCCAGAAATAAAAAAGTAATGTTTTAAATTGCGTGGTAGTCTGAGTAATGTTATGAAATCTGATACTATCCCTATCTGTTTCAGATATGAATGAGTTATTTTTTTTTTTCTGTCTATGCTTACTGTGCATGATACTTGCTGGTTAGTCACATAGCCATTCAATTATCAGGTCAACTGTCATGGTATCACAATGCTTCTCTGTTCAAGTAACCCTTATTTACTTAACAAAGCCCCCCGCAACATGTAACAGTAGTAGTGCTGGCAATTCAGATATATCAAAGACATGCAATTTTTCCTTTAAGTAAAAGTAGAAAAAAAAATGGAAAAAATTGTACAATGAGGTTAAGATCAGATAAGAATATTCTGTCTATAAAATTGTGAAGAAGAAAAGTTCATGCTAGTTTTGCTGATGTGCCTCAAACTGCCAGTGTTAAGGCTACACGTATGATAACAGCTTAGTTAAGATGAAAAAACCATCAAGTTATACTGTTCTGTACTATCTGTGGTTCCAGGCAGCCTGTAAGAGTCTTGAGCTAGAATCTCCCTCAGATAAAAAAGCTATTTTTATATGTAAGTAGTCCTGAAAATACTGCACAGCTATGGAGAATTCCATAGTATTATGCCAGTTGGTATATCTACATAGACTTACACAAACCACAAACCGAGATAAACAGGCTTTCTCTGGCCTTTTGTCATGCAAAGTATTTTGGAAATACAGAATTAACTCATTCAGTTAAAAACAAAAATAAAACCCCATATTTTGAATGTTACTCTAAAGTAATACATAATTTTATTTGGATAATTTTCTTGAATTTGATTAATCTTTTATTTTTATGACAGAATATGAAGAAAGTGGATTGTTGGAAACAGATGAGGTTTGTAAATTGAATTTTTCTAGTTAATTTTTAATTAGTGAACTTGGATTAGTATTCTTATTAATGACATTGAGCCTTCAAAGAATTTTATATTTACATTGGTTATGGCATATAAAATTTGAATTGTCTATAAAATATATATCATATATACAGTGGTACCTTCTTAGTTCATGAATGCTTTTTTTTGTGAACAATTTGGTATGCAAACAAGCATTTAGCAGAGTTTTTTTTGTTTGCAAACTCTACATCTGGTGACAATATAATCATGGCTATTTTTCCCAAATCATGAAATGAATTAAGTTCATGAACTGAGGTACCACTGTAAATGTATATTGCATATAAAATTGAATTAAAAGTTCGTTTAATTTTTAAGATGACAATATAGAAGGGGAAAAATAGATTTTTCTAGAATATCACATTCATACTGAATGACTAAATTTTTCTACGTTATATTCCAGGCTACTCTAGATACCAGGAAAATAATAGAAGCTTGTAAAAAAACTGATGCGGGAGGTGAAGATGCTATTTTACAAACCAGAACTTACGATTTATACATCACTTATGATAAATATTACCAGACGCCAAGACTATGGTTGTTTGGCTATGATGAGGTAAAAGTGAAAAGATGTATGTTTCAATGTAAATATTTTAAATTGTTTGGTTTAATTCCTTTGTTAGATCCAAAGGTCTATATGATGTTTTAAATCTTAGAAATCATTTCTTTTATAGTTTTATGATTAATATTGAACTTCATTCTTACTTTGAATAAACTAAATTATTCAGTGAGACATAATGCTAAGAATTAGATACAAGTAATCTGTGTTTACATATTTATTCCTTTGCATCTAAGCTATCCCTTTAAAATGTAAAGAAAATTGAACTTGATATATTTTATTAAATTTTGTATGGGATTATATCTATTGTATATATAAGCTTTTCGAAAATGATCATGTCACATGTGTTTTTCCTTTAAGACTCCTTTAACTCACTTGAATAAAATAAGATCAGCTTTTTTTAAACCTGTGATTCTTACAACTGTAAAAGGAAACAAGAAATAAAGCAAAATTGGCTTAAAAGATTAGTTATTAAATTTTAAAATGTTTCAGTAGCCACAAACTTGTCTCTTTGTGAGATCTGCATTAGGTGACTGATGTCACGTAGTCCAAATATGCAGACTCCTTTACCTGTTCCCCTCCTTGCCTTGATATAAGTTATAAACCTTACTCTAAATAATTTGGAAGTTCTAAATAGTCTGAAATCGTAATTTGCAACTGTGGTGAGGCTAGGAGGTTAAATATAAACACTGAGGTATAAGGTACAAAATTTTTAAATAGTCATTTCAAAGCATTCTTTATGATTTCAGCAAAGGCAACCTTTAACAGTTGAGCATATGTATGAAGACATCAGTCAAGATCATGTGAAGAAAACAGTGACCATTGAAAATCACCCTCATCTCCCACCACCTCCTATGTGTTCCGTTCACCCTTGCAGGTGTGTGTGTGTGTGTGTGTGTGTGTGTGTATAGAATGTGTGTGTATATTTTACATATTTATTGTTTGGTAATCTACTTAGATCTAACTGATAATTTTGCTTTATAAACAAAGAAAATTCTCTTTCATCTTCCTTGGAAATGTTTTGTGCTTAATTGTACATATGAGAAAGGAAGAAAGCCTCTTCAATTTATTTTAACTTTAATACATTAAGATTTTGTTGTTGTTTTTCTTTTCTATTTATATGGTAGATCTTTGTGATCCTAATCCTCTTTTTTAACTCCCAGAATAGCTTAAGAGTAGTTTTGAACCTAATTATCCACCATTAGATAGATTTACCTTATTGTGAGTGTATCTTTCTGAGTATGTGGAGGATAAAGTTAACCTTTTCCTGGGTTGTCTCCCCTCTGGTTAGCCAAGGGAAATGAATGTATGGGGAGTTCCTGCCCTCTTTTGTTGCACATTTATCTGTTTTCATGATTTTTTTTCCTTCCTTTGTTTTCTGCCACCATTTATCAGAAAGCTAATACTATTGTGTATACGGTAATTTAAAAATTATCCTTTGCACCAATAAAACTGTGTGCATGGCTCAACAATCTGACTTGAGTAGAGGGGAGAATATAGTGCAGTTGTTTTATGTTATGATTAATTCACCAAGAGCAAAGTTGGTTTCTTCACAAATGAAATTGTTGTCTTACTGTTTTGAACTAGTTGAGCTGTACTAATGAGATTTATTCTTTGCTTTTAGGCATGCTGAAGTGATGAAGAAAATCATTGAGACAGTTGCAGAAGGAGGGGGAGAGCTTGGTGTTCATATGTATCCTTACTTGTATTTGTGCTTTGTAGCTAAATGGCTCCTAGGATGTTTTATTTGGAAAACTTAGTATAACCTTAAAGACACAATACCTATAATTTGTTTTGGCCTATCATATCCTTAAGTTCTGGTAGAAATCTTTATTTAGGATATGTTTTATTGAGATGGTTAGGTCATAGTCAGTTGATTAAGATATGTTCCTTTGTATATCAGTTACCTTGTTACAGAGGCTACGTACTAATTTGGATAACATGAGCACTTTTTCCTTTTTTATATTTCCAGTTTAAAATGTTACCAAAAATGTGTTTTGTCATCAGGTAAAAGTAGTTAGGTTATGTCAACTTGTGGTTTCCCAGAAGCAAAGAATTCAACTAAAACAGGTTAGTTTAAAAGAAAAAAAAAAAAAAAGTACAAGAACTGCTTTAGATATTTTTAAAATATAGTATTTTTATTTTTCTTAAATGAAAAACATCTTTCTTGTATGTTCTATGGATTTACTCAGTTTTTCCTACTCAGTTTTCAGGCTGATAAGAGAGAGAAATCAAAGTTGATGTCCAAGTAGGTGGTTAGATGCTGAAGTACATGCAGCCATAGCATGGGTTCATCAAAAGCATTCAAACTTGGTAATGTAGATGCTAAAAAGCTTGAGTTAGCTTAGTTCTTACCACTCCAATTAGGTGTAGTAGATAGAAGGATCACCAGTGTCTTGAAGGTACAAATAACCTAAGCATTCTTAATAAATAATTTTTTTCAGAGAGACTTTGGGTTGATTTGATGTGGAAACAAACCAATAATTTTTAATCCAAACCAAATTTATTCTGAAGTTTTCTTATATATAATTTGCATTCATCTCTCATGTTGGAGGCTAGGTAGCAAGTTGGAGTATGTCTATGTAATTAGTGATGGTGAATCATTGACTTCTCCAGTGAAAATTATAGCTCTTAGTGTTTCTGGGTACAATAGAACATAGAAAAAGTTTCAAGGTTGTATTAACGAAAACAGTCCAATATATTACATTCCATGGCAAGTATATCTGTAATTTAGATTTAGATTTAGTTCATTATGAAAGGGTTTCATTTAATTTAATTTTTCTTTGGCTATAGTGTTATACTCTTTTTCCCTTATAAGCTCTAGCAAACTTAAAAGCGGTAAAGAGGCAGAGTAAATTAACAAATTTTGTATTCACTTAAATATGGGCAGTCTTGTCCTTATTTTTATATCAAAGTAATTCGGTCCTTGTGAACTTCTTATTAAGAAGTTTCAGCTAGGTGTGGTGGGTATATTCCTATAATCCAGCATTCTGGGAAATTGAGACAGGAGGATTCCAAGTGTGAGCCTAGTTTAGGAATTTCCTAATTTGGTGAGACCTTATTATAAAATATAAAAAGACGGGTCGGAGTATAGTTGTAGTTCAATGAGAAGACTGGGTTCAATCACCAGTACTACAAAAACCCAAAAAACTTTCAAATTCAGATACTGAAATAGGTGGTCAGGCAGTATTAAAGTTGTGGAGAGCCTCATGTTGAATAGACACAAATTTATATAACTTCCATGATTGGATTTCTGTAATAGAGTTGATGTAAAATTTTGTCATATGCTTTTTTTTTTAAATGAATAATTACAATGTAGGCTTAAAACTTAAAACTATTTGCCTGTCTTATTTTCCTTAACAAAAAACCTTTAGGTATCTTCTAATTTTTTTGAAATTTGTACAAGCTGTCATTCCAACAATAGAATATGACTACACAAGACACTTCACAATGTAACAAAGAGAACGTAGACTCTCATAGTTATTAATTCTGATTTTTAAAGAATTAACCCATAGATGTGACCATTGACCATATTTACCAATATGTACAATTTCTCTAATAAAGGGAGTTACATGTTTATGCATTAAATAAAAAAAGGTTTAGTACTAGCCTTATTTGTTTAATAAAAATGAATGTAAAGAGACAGTATTTTTAATCAAGGTTATGGGATTTCCCCAAAATAACACTTTAAATGAATGTATAGCTCATACAGAATTAGTGCTTTTGCCGGGTGTGGTTGATGAATGCCTGTAATCCCAGTACTCCAGAGGCTGAGGCAGGAGGATTGCTGTGAGTTCAAGACCAGCCTCAGCTACAAAGTGAGTTCCAGGTCAGTCTCAAGTACATAGTGAGACCCTGTCTCTAAAAATAAAAAACAAAGAAAAAGAGTGCTTTTGGTGCACATTTGAGGAAGGTTTAAATAGGTAATAGTGTCCAAACTAGTACTAGAAAATACTGCATTCTAGACTGTGTCTTCATTTTGTTTCTTTTGTTTTTTCCTTACCCTCTCCTTAAGTCAGTCCCCTGTCTGCTAATAATTAATATTTTTGAAGCACTTAACCATATATGCTAGGAATACTAAGTACTGTTATTTCTTGATTTATTAAGTCGATAGCACCAAAGTTAGTTTTTTCTAAGAATTCAGGACTATTTTTCCTATTGTGATTGCCTGGAAAATAGTAGAATTTGAAGGGGATACCTTTGTTGTGTTATTTAAGTTTGTAGGTCTGGGTGGGTATAGCAGCAGTTCAGGGAGCCAGGTGGTGTACTCTGGAACAGCACACTTTGAGCCAAAGAGTAGAACCTGGGAGTGAGGCCCTTTGACTTTTTTCTTTAATAGTCTCCATTTCCCTACGTTGCCTCTCATTTCTGCTCCTCATAGTCTGTAAAAAAAAAAGTGAGGTGGCTCATCTTTCCGCTAAGGAACTTTTGTTTTATTTTTCCTCTTCATTTAAGAATGCTCTCTCCTCTTTAATGCTTTTTAATGTTCCCCCCTTTTCCAATTGTCCAATTTTATATTACAAGGAAAACTCCATAATGAAGATTATGACTTAATGGAATTAATATGGAATTTAATAGGGTGTAATATGCAAACATAAACATGGATCTCTTCCCAATATACTTCAATATTGTGCTTATGGCTGGACACAGTCTTTCATGTCTAGATTTGGGATTCTAAGGCAAGAGGATCACTTGAGAAGAAGAATTCAAGACCAGCCTGCATTGTAGCAGGACCCTATCTCAAGAAGATTCTAGACTAATACACTGATTGCTCATATAATCAGCAATCCAGTTACGTGTCTTAATCTTCCAAACTAATTTTACTAGAATGCAACTGCTAATGTTTTGTGTCACTACTAGATAGCATATTTTTTCAAATAACCTTTTTAGTTTCAGCTCTTTTTTCCAGTTGAAATCTTTTGATGGATCCCAGACATACAAAGATGGGTATATTGGCATTAATGTATTTTTCATGAGTTCAAATTTATAGCATTCATTAGAACTAAGTTGTTTTTGTTGAGCTTAAAACTGCAATTCAGACTGGATCATCTTACAAGCTTTTATGTTGAATTTATTTTAAATTTCAGTTTCTTAGTATTTTAAAACATCTGATTTACACAAGTCTTAGACAATGGTAATAATTTATTTATTTATTTTTTGGTACTGGGAATTGAACTCGGGTCCTTGTGCTTGCAAGGTAGGCGGTGAAACCACTGAGCTAAATCCCCAGCCCCGGTAATAATTTTTATTTTGAAATAAATTTAGATTTATAGAACAGTTCCAAAGGTATCACAAAATCCTGTATACCTTTCACCTAGCTAACATCTTACATAACCGTGATCTATATACTGTGTTATGCCTTAAATATGAACTATCCCCAAAGACTCCTCATGTATTGAGAGGGCACTATCCGCATCCATAGAGTGACCCATTGATGAGTTGACAGCTGATGGTCTGTCAGGAGGTGGGGCCCAGTGGGAAGAGGTAGGTCACTGGGGGTGCACCTTTGAAGGGCATATCCTCTACCTAGCCCCTTCCTCTCTGTTTTTTTGTACTCTGCTTCTTGGCTGCCATATGCTAAGCTGGTTTCCTCCACCATGCCATTTTAGCCTTGGAGCCAGTGGACCATGAAACAAACATCTGAAACCATGAACCAATAATAAACTTTTTCTTCCTTAAGTTGTATATACATCACCTATTTTGTTCCAGTGATGAGCAGTAGAGTAATACAGTTACTACAACTGAAAACTTAAAGTTGATAGAATACATTAAATACAAATTTTATTCATACTTAGCTAGTCTTCATTAATGTCTTTTTTGTATTCTAGAATCAAATCCAGGATGTCATACTGCACTTAGTTGTCATGTATATTAGTCTCTTCCAGTCTTTTACAGTAGCTGTCTTTTTTATGTCTTCTGTGACCTTGATACTTTCAAGAGTAATGGTCAGAAATTTTGCAATATTCCTTAGTTTGAGTGTGATGTTTTCTGATGATTAGCCCAAAAGTATGAATTTTGGTGAATACCACAGTAGTGTTACAATGTTCTCTTTACATTATGTAAGGAATTACTTAGTTAAGATGGTGCTTGCTAGGTTTTTCTACTATAGAGTTAGTACTTTATTCTTTTTCACTGGTTAAAGTCTCTATGTAAAAGTTTATAGCCTCAGAACAAGAGGAATTTGACTTTGCATTCTAGAGAAAGGATTATCAGACTGTGGTCTATGTTAAAACCACCACAGTAATTAATAAATTTTGGGAAAAATACTTTGAGGTACCACCATTGACCAGTTTCTGTTTAGTTTTATCCTTTTTTTAGCATTCATCAGTGGATCTTTCCTGCGGTGTTCCAGTGGTGTGTCTGGTTTTTTGTTTGTTTTTTTCCTATACCACACTTGCCTTGGTTATTATAATAAACCTTGAAATTGAGTACCATGAGAATTCTCATTTTCTTCTTTTAAGGAATTGATTTGATTATTCTTGTTTCTTTGCTTTTGCATGTATATTTTAGAATTAATTTGTATATATAAAAAGCTTATCTTGGCTGGGGATTTAGCTCAGTGGTTCCACTGCCTGCTTCACAAGCATAAGGACCTGAGTTTGATCCCCAGTACAAAATAAATAAATAAATAAATAAAAAGCTTATCAGAATTTTGGTTGGAAGTGCCTTGAGTTTATAAATAAAGTAAGAGAATTCACATCTTAATAAGATTGAGTCTTCAGATCTATGAATACAGTATATCCCCCCATTTATTTAGATTTCGTTTCTTTCAAACTGCACATACTTTGTTATATTTATTCATAAGTACTTTGTGGTACATACACATGTTATATATGAACACAATTGACCTTCATACCAGACTGATTATGTATCCTGAAACCCTGCTAATTTTTACTTCTAGTAATTTTTAGTATAGATACTTTTACCTTTTCTACATGGACAGTTGTGTTATATACAAATACAATACAGTATATAGTTCTTTCTGATCTATTGTTTTTTTCCTGACCTCATTGAACTGTCTGGGAACTGTTGACTAGGAGTGATGAGGTGGGACTTCCTTGTCTTGTTCCTGATATTGAGAAAAGAGCAATTTCCTACTGTTAAGGAGAATGTTAACTGTAGCCTTTAGGTGATGCCTTTTGCTGAGAGTATAATAAATGTTTGATTTTTCTACATTTTTTCAGATGATCTTTTTTTTTGTTTGGTCTGTTAATTTGATGAGTTAAGTTATCGAGACATTCTTGTATTTCTTGAATGACTACCATATTATCAGTTATATATTTCTAGAATTCAGTTTTCTAAAATTCCATTGATGATTTTTATATCTGCTCACCAGAGCTCTTGACCTGTGGTTTTCTTGAAATGTCTTTCCTTTGGGTTTGGGGGTGATGCTAATTGTGAATTGGGGAATATTTCCTTCTCTTTTCTCGAACAAGTTGTATAGAATTAGTTTGCTGGTGAAAGCAGCAGAGCCTGTATATTTTTTTTTTCATATTTTAAATGTAACATATACAGGATAATCTCTTCAGTGAATTTGTTAATTTATGTTTTTTCAAGGAATTTGTTTCTCAGTGGTTCTGCCACCAGCCCCACAAGTGCAAGGTCCTGAGTACGATCCCCAGTGTGTGTGTGTGTGGTGTGGGGGCGGTTTGCTTCTATAGTGAAGATGGAAGGGAGAGATCTTGGTGGAGTTTCTGCTTCTTTCATGGCCACCATTCCTCTCCAGTTCTGTATTACAATAGATAGTTCTTAACAGCTTTTTCCTGTGAGCGCCAGGTAGATGTAGGCCATTTTGCATTCTGTGTTCACCAATTGGACAGCTGTTCTCGCTGGACTACCCCAGGTGAGCTTGTGTCACTTCTATTCTGGTAAATTAAATTTTGGACCTGTTATTTCTTCTTCAGTCTCAGCCTTTGCATATAGTCTTGAATATTCAGTTAGTCTTGTTTATTTTTTTGGGCTATAAATGTGAAAACAACACTTGTTTGTTCTAGCTCTCTACATCCTGAGGCAAAAGTCTTACATTTTCTTGCAACAGCAATTCAATTTCAAGATATATTACTCAGTCAAGATAAGTATTGAGATGCTTTCTGTCCTCTGTACATAAATAATTAATCTTGGAAACATACGGTAATGTGATGGTATACAGTATTCTAAGCATTTGCTATACAACATTTTGATGGCTTATATTTTTAGCAGTTTGAAAAACAGTACATTTGCTGAATGTAATTCAAATAAATCGATGATTTGAGAGTTCCCAAAGCACTCTGCAAAACCCTCTTGTCTAAATAATACATAATTCATTTTGTAGGATTTAGACTTCTTTTTAAAAAATAGAGCCAATAAACTTAATGCTATGGTCTAAAAAATATTAAGGAGGAATCTTGTAAACATGAGTTCAAGTCAGTTGTTTTATAGGTAAAATTTATTACTTGTTAAGTTACAAAATAAAAGATGCTTTATACTTAGTTTCCTACAGCCAAAGATTTAAGGAAGTATATTAAACCTTCCCAAATTGGAGTACAAACTCTTATGAAGTATAAAATTATGAACTTTCTAAAAGAAAAAGTGGGGAAATGTCTTGTGAATAAGGATTTTACAGGGCTTTTTAAATAACAGCCCCACCCCACCTGTTACTTGTTTGGCATGGGCCATAATGCACAAACAAAAATAGATGAATGCAATTATGCCAGAATTACAGACTTTAAAAAAAAATACTAGACAAATTTAATAGTTAAGTTACAGTTTGGTAGAGGATATGTGTAAAGTCTATAACTGACAGGACTCATT